TTTTTTTATTGATAAAAAAAAACTACTTTACAAAATTATAAACTTTATAAATATAATAAAATAATAATTAATAAAAATATGTTATTTTTTGTACGTTATTACAAAGTTAAGTCGTACACTGAGTGCATTACTAATAAAAATCTTACGTTACGGACGCTTTTTCCCGGTAGGGTACCCCTCCGCATCGTCCGATAAAGAACTTCGTTCCAAAAATTAAAATATTGGACGTATTTAAATATGTTAAAAATATAATTCACCCATCCGTAGGATAGGGGAAACCAATAAGTAGGTATTGGTCCTGTAATTGGTTTCTAATGCCGCGTAAACCCTCCAAACGTGTTCGGAGACTGGACGGAGAGATAAAGTGCACGAATGCTTTGTGCCCGATTTCGCTATCGTTATTTTTGTAACTGCTTTTTTTTGCTTCTCTGGTGAATTTTAGCGAATTGCTTTACAATGCGCACCTTCTGACAAACTGTGTTTGTTTTATTTTGCGTTGCTCCGTAAAAGATTACGGAAACAAAATCTACATCAATCTATATCAATTGTTTCATCTTATGAATCGATCCTATCGCCATCATCATCCCAAGAAAAATATACGTATGTGATTACATGTAGGTATGTAATTACATTTTTTTTGGCCTCTATTGGAAGACAAACTCGCGGTCTGCTTAATGCCAAAATCGCCAGTACCCACGGTTCCAATCATTTAGGTCCCAAAAACAGCAATTACAGTTAGAAAGTTACCTCTCTATAAAATTAAGATGATTTTATGTTCTACATTAGACTAGAGGCATTCTCATAGTGGTCCCTATGAGTTTTTCATAGAAACTATAGTGACTCTTAAACGAAGTTGCGCTAGTAGTTTTGCAAATTTCAATAATTTAATTTTTTTAATAAACACGTATTAATTCTGAAGAGAATTTAAGCATATATTCGTTGCTCTCCCTTCTTATTGTATTTAGATTACCGTAAATCCTACATGAGCACTCGCTCCGAAAACTCCGTGTAATGTTTGCGTCGAAATCAGGGACTTTACTCCGACAAATAACTTTGGAATGATACTAAACACTACGCAATTCAAAAACAAAACATAAAAACAATGAACGGTTTTGGCACGTTTTGAAACGTGGTTTGAATATTATTATATTTTACTGTCTTAAATAATAGTGTTAAAGTTTAAGATTTCAAAGTGTACACTAATAATAAAATACTCCTCGACATGTATCTTCTAGGATACAGTCGGTCGTTTAGGACAGCCTGCCGATCCAGCCGTACCGTAGATGTGTTCCAACCATCGTCAGCTTGCTTCCCTTCTGCATCATCCAAGGCGGGTTGTTGAGTGACCGGGAGTTTAGTTTATTCAGCTCCATTAAAACCTGTCTTTTGCTTCCAATATGAAAATTCTGACTCTTATATGCTTAAATCTTTATCTGACCGGGCATCGATCAGAAGGCGACTTCGACATCAGTTGACCATTAAATTAGTAGTATCCTCGCGCTATTTTACTACCGATCTCCACGCAATTCTATTGTACTAGTGGTAGGTGCATTTAAAAAAAATTATAAACCGTAAAGCTTAGCACCTACTTAACTAGCTACAAAACTATATAAAAAATATATACCGCCTTTCGTATTTTGCAACATGTTTATTTTAATTTTATTTTATAAAAAATTCTTTATTTATGTTAAAATCAAAATTTTGCCATACTTGATTGAGCTGATCGTCTTTTTATTACTGTAACCTTCTCAACTTTAGAATATTTAGTAGCTACTCTTGTGTCATGAGTTTCTGCGGGTAATTTGTAAAAAAAAAATAGATTACATGTGTAAGGTTACCGACAACGGAAAAATCTTTCATCGAGCGGATGACATCATTCGGTAGATCGACGATCCAAATGTTATTGTTCGGACCTTGTTTAAATGGAAACGTATCTTCAAAAATGTCGCTAACGAAATTTAACCATCTGTCAATTACCTTCTGTTTTATTAGAGCACTAGCTTTTGCCCGCGACTCCGTCCGCGTGGAATAGCTACTTTGGCATAACGCTAAATTTTACTCCTACTTCATTTTCGTGGAAAGTGAAAATATTTTTCAACTATATAATGTTATGGAGCTATTTAAACCCCTATTTTGAGACTTTCTTTATTGGTGCTCCACATGTATTGGTCTTACCGTGATGTGATATAGCCTATAGCTTTTCTCAATAAATGGGCTATATAACACTGAAATATTTTTCAAATCGGACCAGTAATTCCTGAGATTAGTGCGTTCAAACAAACAAACTCTTCAGCTTTATTATATTAGTATAGATTACTGCACATGGTCGAAAACTAAACATTTTCATAATATATGAACAGTCTTGGAGCCGCGGTAATCATGTCGGGATTTTTCGGAAAGCAATGCTCCTGTCTCACTCGAATCCTACTAAATTTATTACCCTCGTTGACGCCAGCCGGTTCTACAACTATCGGATCTTGTACTTTCATACACGTCCACTGAATAGATGAGTTGCATTTGAAATAATGACTCAATACTGACTGAATAACTCAAAGTCGTAAAATATATGTTTTTTTTTTATTGCATAGATGGGTGGACGAGCTCTCAGCTCACCTGGTGTTAAGTGGTTACTGGAGCCCATGGACATCTACAACGTAAATGCGCCACCCACCTTGAGATATAAGTTCTAAAGATCTCAGTATAGTTACAACGGCTGCCCCACCCTTCAAACCGAAACGCATTACTGCTTCACAGCAGAAATCGGCAGGGCGGTGGTACCTATCCGCGCGGACTCACAAGAGGTTCTACCACCAGTTACTTTAAAATTACTTCATTTTTTAAATCATATTTTAAGATTTATGACTAGCGTGGGTCATTAGACGAGCTCATAGCCCATCGGGAGCCTAAAACGTGTGTAACGCTACCAAAATCGGTTTGTGACCATAAAGTCTCAAATGCTTTAGGATAAGGTTACCCTTTGAACTAGAATTCACAAAACAGGCAGAATCTTTGTACCCCGTACGTCGTTATTCACCTTTGCTACATTTTTTATATTTGTTCCATTTTAATATTCTACATAAAATCTCAATGAAGCATATTTTTATATTTGGTGACTGAATGATACCGAATTATATGAATTTCACACTTTTTTTTCAACCTGTGACCACCCAATGCTTAGTGTAGGTATACTCGTGTATTAATTTCATTAATAAACAACAATACATTAAACATATACCTATAGATTTGTTGAATAGTTAAAAGTACTCAATTGAATTGATAAATCCGGCAACTAATTAATTTTTTTAACCAGCAGATTTTTTTTATTTATTGCTTAGGTGGGTGGACGATCTCACGCCACCCACCTTGAGATATCAGTTGTAAGATCTCAGTATAGTTACAACGGCTGCCCTACCCTTCAGACCGAAACGCATTACTGCTTCACGGCAGAAATAGGCAGGGCGGTGGTACCTACCCGCGCGGACTCACAAGAGGTCCTACCACCAGTAAAAGATGTAAAAACACCCATATTCATTTTATTCAATCCATTCCTATAAAATGTTGCATAGTAGCAAACGCTCTGAGCGATAAAGCCGTCCGCTGTTTCTATTATCTGCATTATTAGGTATTATATTTTATCGGTTGGGGTGTTTTAGCGAATGAAATTTCGTTCTATTCTTCTTTATTCATTACTTAACTACGTGCCCACATGAATTGTCTTAACAAATCTTCTGCGTAGCACCACATAAGTAAATTAATTTGTAATTTAAGAAGTGGTGACCTGTAAAACATACGCCAACGATTCACAATCAAAACAGCTGCAGTTTATAAATTTTTTTTGGTTGTGGTGAGGAAATTTTATTATTCACTAGCTGACCTGGCAGACTTCGTAGTGCCTCAATCGATAAATAAAAGACCTAAACTTTTGTATAAAATAAACAAAAGGAATCCCTCCGACAGGGGACATATCAGGAAAAACAAAATTGTTATTTTTATTTAATTCCGAGCATTTGTTAAACCTTCTCTGGACTTCTAGAAATAATTCAAGATCAAAATTAGCCAAATCGGTCTAGCCATTCTAGAGTTTTAGCGAGACTAACGAACAGCAATTCATTTTTATATATACATAGATAGATAGATTAAGGGTATTTCTGATATATACAAAGTTAAAAGGATTTGTTTTAACTAGTACGATGTGTGTGGGGTGTGAAACAGCAGAACGGCGGTATCGACGACCTGAGGTACCTCCGCGACAAATTGGAATTGTGAAACCGATTCCATGAATATATTTCATTTGAGGTGACGTGATCAATATACTGTACTTTTTAATCATCATTTGCTTTACTTTTTTTTATCGTCTATCAAAAACAAGTTGAAATAAATTTTCATGATTAATCTAAAGTAATTTGACATGTCATCTTCAAATTTAAACACACGAATAACAATTTTGCTTACGACAGTGAATTTTTTTAAATCAATCAGTCTTCAAAAAGATATGAGATACAGAATTAGAGATCTTTAGCTTAAATAATTTATTAAATGAAAACTAAAATAATTTAGATTTTATATATATATTTTTTTGCTTAGATGTGTGGACGAGCTCACAGCCCACCTGGTGTTAAGTGGTTACTGGAGCCCATAGACATCTACAACGTAAATGCGCCACACACCTTGAGGTATAGTTCTAAGGTCTCAGTATAGTCACAACGGCTGCCCCACCCTTCAAACCGAAACGCATTACTGCTTCACGGCAGAAATAGGCGGGCGGTGGTACCTACCCGTGCGGACTCACAAGAGGTCCTACCACCAGTAATTACGCAAATTATAATAAATTAACACTGATCGTAATTTTCTATGTTCAAACCAAAGAAGACTTCATGAGGATAGTTCAAAAACATTTACATTCACATTTGTTACGGTGCAATTCCGTTGTGTAAACAAACTTCTAACATTGGACGTTTGCTGCACGTTTGCATTGTTTCAAAGGCTTATTTTTCTTGTAGGATACCGTACGCCGACAAGATCACCCCGGAGCCAATCTTGCACAACAATGCGGGCAGGGACACAAAGCCAGACTCGATCAGAAACAGTTATAATAGCCAATTCAAAGTTGGCATCTACGGTTGGAGGAAGAAATGCCTGTATATACTTGTCATTGCGCTTATGTTTATGATGATCATTAATCTAGCTCTCACGCTTTGGGTTCTCAAAGTTTTGGATTTTAATTCGGTGAGTCAATTTTTTTGTTTTGCATTCGACAATCTGATAAAATTTATAAATAAAATAAATACCTTTTAATTTTTAGGAAGGAATGGGTCAGCTCAGAATAGTTCCTGGAGGATTGCAGCTACTCGGGCAAGCATTAGTACTCGATTCTCTATTTACATCAAGTATCAAATCTCGGAGAGGTCAACCGATTTCCATCGAATCTACCAGAAACTTCTCAGTGTCAACTCGAGATGCACAGGGATTACTGCAAAGTAGATTATTCTTAGGTAACTAAAAAAAACTTTTAGTGGATANGGGTCAGCTCAGAATAGTTCCTGGAGGATTGCAGCTACTCGGGCAAGCATTAGTACTCGATTCTCTATTTACATCAAGTATCAAATCTCGGAGAGGTCAACCGATTTCCATCGAATCTACCAGAAACTTCTCAGTGTCAACTCGAGATGCACAGGGATTACTGCAAAGTAGATTATTCTTAGGTAACTAAAAAAAACTTTTAGTGGATATAAAACATGGATAGTACAAAAATGTGTTGTCTTATGCTTCGATCAATTTCTATAAAACTTTTTGAGAGTTTATTTTCGCTACATCACCCAAGATGGGAGAGTTGAAGTTTTTTGTTTCCACCCTATCGCCAGGTGTTTTGGAATCGCCCGCGGTTTGTTGACGTGAATTTGATGGATACATATGAGAATATGCTCCTATTTTATATTTGAACTACAACACTTGTTGTACACACTTATACACACTAGTATACACTACATATTGTTTTACCATAAAATTGTAAATTTATGTTTCTGTGATTGAGTGTGATTAAAGATGTTTATTGGACAATGAATTTAAAAATTAAATTACAATATATTTATTGCACATGTACTCTCTATATCCTAGTATATAAAGGTTGTAGCTTGTCATCGTGGCCTAAAGGATAAGGCGTCCGATGCATTCGTATCTAGCGATGCAACGGTGTTCGCAGGCGGGTGCCAATTTTTTTAATGAAATACGTTCTTAACAAATGTTCACGATTGACTTCCACGGTGAAGGAATTAATTACATCGTGTAATAAAAATCAAACCCGCAAAAATATAATTTGCGTAATTACTGGTGGTACGATCTCTTGTGAGTCCGCACGGGGTAGGTACCACCACCCTGCCTATTTCTGCCGTGAAGCAGCAATGCGTTTCGGTTTGAAGGGCGGGGCAGCCGTTGTAACTATACTGAGATCTTAGAACTCATATCTCAAGGTGGGTGACGTTTACATTGTAGATGTCTATGGGCTCCAGTAACCACTTAACATCAGGTGGGCTGTGAGCTCGTCTACCCATGTAAGCAATAAATAAATAATATATGTATAAAATAATATAATATATAATAGAATTTGTCTGCACTTATAGAAAAAATTTACAAATTCCTTAGGTCATGACCGTTTAGAACTCAACGTTGGTCGCTTTGAAGTGAGAGATTCAAGAGGAGCGTTGCTACTGGGAGCCGGTCAAGATTCCGTCACCATAGGAGCGGATACACTAACGGTTTCCAGTTCAGCTGGAGTGACACTGAATACCGCAGTCCAGACTTCACTTGTAAAGGCACCCCCAGCGAAACCATTAGTGTAAGTTTTATTAGTTTTTTTTTGTTTAAATAATCCATATTGCATAAATAAGTAATTCTGAGTAAAGGAAAATGAAAAAAAACGATATCTTTTAAGTTCAGGTTATACCAAAAGATAATTCGCGCGATGGTTTAGTGCACATACGACTCATGGTTCACTAATTGTTATTCACCGGAAACAAAGTCAAACTATTTTTTTACGTACAATTTTACCACTGTGTCGAAAAGCACTACATAGAATCAGCAAGTACTATATAGAGAACACTCTGATTATTATTTGAAAATTTTTCCATCAAAATAGAATCCACAGATACTTCTCTTTGTTCATTTCTTTGAACTACACTTACTTTTATTTAGGCTGGAGTCTCCTACAAGATCATTAGAAATGCATGCAGCCCAAAACATAGCTTTGGAGTCAAGAGCTGGCGACATAAGTGCGAGCTGCCTCACAACCTTCAGACTGAGATCCATAGCCGGATCGGTAAGAAACAGAACCATCAAAAAAGTAGATTTTTTTCAAAATATTACTACTACCTCTTTATCTGAGCACGTACATATATTACAACTATACAATATATTTTAAAGCCTTTATCTATTTCATCTATTTCAGATACGTTTAGACGCACCTAGTATTTACATGCCGAAATTGAAATCGGCTCTACCATTGCCACCATCAGCACAGCACCCGCACGATCCCCATCACCAGAACATTTATCAGTTGTGTGCATGTGCAAACGGGAAACTATTCCTAGCACCACCGCATGGGATCTGCGCGGCCAGGGAGGAGAGCCTCATCTGTCGATGATAATCTTTTCTAGTGTAGATATCGGTGTATTGTTTATCTGTGTGCGAAAGCTTGAATTGTCCATAAATGTAAAGAACGTAATGACCATTTAGAATTTTATAGCTTTTATTTTTTCGAATTTGGTCGAAAATGAAAAATGTTAATTTTGTCCTTTAAATTTTTATTCGTGAGTTGTATGCATTTCGTCATAGTTACGTTTGATTGTTTGACATATATTTATAATTAATTCAAATTGTTTGTAATTTCATTTCATTATATAATTAAATTTTATCATAAATTTTAAATATGTTATCTAAGTATGTTAGCTAAATTGGGAATATAATTTCATAAAAAATAAATGATATTGCGGAGCTTTTGAAATGATTAGGCATGTTTTTACTTAAATGGTATATAGCAGTGAAACTACAACGACTTTATAAACGTACCAAAATTAATATTTTAGTAAAAAATATTACATAGCCTAGTGCCTTCTGGATAAATAAATATTTCATCGAGATAGTATTATAATACTCTTTGAATGTTTTCGCGGGTAGTAGAGATAATTTCAAAACACTTATACGATCTAAGTGGTCTAATTTAAAATTCTGACCAATAACATGTTGTATGTTCAAAACGTTACCGAGTTTTCATGGTTGAAGTGTTTTAATAATAATATTATTAGTACTTGAACTTTGTTTTCATAGAATATCGTAATACAGATGCGTGGTAAATAATTAAATAAGTATTTACTTCGGTTACACGAAACTTAAATCGAATGACTTTGGTAGATTAAATTATAAATAAAAATTATTTGAGTGTTGGAATCTATCTTATTAAATCCAAAAATTTAATAAATATAGTAGGTACCAAAACGTCAATTATTTAAAAATTAAAAAGTTACTATCCAAGACAAAAGATAGTCGGGATATCATTGAGCTTCCATTGAATGACAATGAACTTTCAATGATTTTCAATGAATCCTTGAATGACATCCCGACATTGAACTTCATCTTTGATACCAGGCTTATGGAAACATCTTTTTAAATAGAACCAGCCTAGTATTTTGGGACACGAGAGAAGGTGCCCTCTAGGCAGGTTCTAGATAGATCGCTTACTGCTAAGTCCGGTGGTTGTGGCACGAACGCTGGTTCTACGTTCCGTGGTAGTAAGGTGATCTGCTGATACACTTCACATGGAACGCGCCACATTGCTCCCCACTAGCTTAGTTGAAATCTATCTCATCGGAGACTCGAACACCAGTTGTTCAGCAACAGGATGTTTTAGACGGTACAACTCAAACCGCAAGTGTACCAAAAAAAGAATATGCATTTTTTTTGTTTTAATTGCATCAGTTTATTTATTCAGATAAATGTAACCTTGACAACCCTGGATTGACGTCACGCACTATTCAATTTGTAATCGCTTTAATTAGGTGCAATATAAAAGATATACAAAAATCAGTAACAGTTTTTAGGTTATAAATATAAATATACCCTACGTTTTTACAACATACATATAAGAATAAGTAGGCTTCCTTCTTTCTCCCCAAAAACAAAGTAACAAATGTTAAGGCATGCGTGTTCGTGTAGTTTCATGTTCTCTGAGCCTCTAGGATCTTAACAGGCTAACCTGTTGTTAGGGATCAGTGTATTTTATTAAACTACTGTAGCTACACCATATACGGACTTGTGTATAAAATTATCCCTTAGAAAATTGATGTATAGCTATTGTGTTACAATTTAATGTAAATTATAGTAAGCATTTGTTGATGTTGTTGTAAATATAATTAATAGTAAAATAAGTTTCAAACGATGCGGTATCTTTCTTTTTCCTCCTTTTCCTAAAGAATAACTGAACTGCTAGTTTTATAAATAAGAATTAAAGAAATAATAAATGACTCTCATCCAAAAGACCGTTGAAGTATCATCATCACAAATCGTTTTCTGTGGCGTTGTCAATAAAGTCACTTATTTTATCACGTCGGAATATCTCATTGCAACCGTTTGTTACATTACATGGTATTAATAAGACGAATGAAATTATATAGAACAAAGCTATAGCCGAATTATACATATACTATAACACATAGCTGGCCCGGCAAACGTTGTTTTGCCATATAAATTATTTCTAGGAAAGATAAATAACCTAAATACCGACTGCAACGTCATTTGCCGGGATGATTTGTGAATGTAAACCATCCAGGGTGCCACCCAAACGCATACAAAAAAAAATCATTCAAATCGGTCCAGCTGTTTAGGAATCCAGTGACAAACACACGCACAGAAGAAATATATATACATATAAAGATTATACTTTTGTAATGCAGTTATGATTAATAAAAGCATAGTCGTTCTATTTAACTAATTATCCCTCCATGTTTTCTTCAAATCATACTGGCTTCAAGCTATAGGAATTTACATTACGCTTAAAACATTCGGCAGTTCATAATTGAGTCGGACGGGAATAAGCATTCTACTAGATATAAAACGAACGAAGAATAAGTTGAGAAGTTTCATCATTTAATTTTGGTTTGAAGGCGGTTCCCACGGTCGGAGCTTCGACTGGATGCCAGTGCACTTTTAATTATAGATATTAAAATTAGAAACGTTTGATAATATAGGATCTTAATGCCGTCTGAATTATAAACGAAATTTTATCTTAATATACGAGTGAATCTCTTTCAGCTTTATTTATATGGATACCTTTAATTTAACTGTATCATAATTGATGTTCTGACATGTTTATGGCGTGATAATTTGTAAACGTTTATAAGAGTGGTACTTTAAAAGTCATTCGTGACCATTAAAACTGTTTAATATTTGAAGCGTCTTAAGTGATCCAATTGCAATAAAAACGCGAGATTAATTTGTAAAAGTACTATTAATTATGTCTATAGCTGACGATAGAAGAAGAAAATATTATAATAATACTTTAAATGACATAAAAACAGCTGAGCAAAGGTAGTACGTTTTATTTGAATATTTTTTTATCATCTATAAAGATGCTCTTCTTGTATTATATTTATTACAGTTCATAGTTTTAGTGATCTTTTGTCTAAGATTTACATTGCATTTTTTATTACTTAGATGTGTGGACTAGCTCACAGCCCACCTGGTGTTAAGTGGTTACTCGATCCCATAGACATCTACATCGTAAATGCGCCACCCACCTTGAGATATAAGTTCTAAGGTCTCAAGTATAGTTACAACGGCTGCCGGACCCTTCAAACCGAAACGCATTATTGCTTCACGGCAGAAATAGGCAGGGCGGTGGTACCTACCCGCGCGGACTCACAAGCGGTCCTACCACCAGTAATTCTGTATATTCACACCTGTATGTTCATATACAGAAAATAATAAAAAAAATATTTACCAAATTTACACATAAAATTTGAACACATTTGAACAAAATACATTGTAATTACGTGATGCGAACAAGAATGGTGATTAATGCAGACTAATAACCACACAAGTCAATAGCGTATTTATTGTGAGCCGCAACGAGTCTGTATACAGTCGCTGCTAAACTTTAATTAAAGATTCATGATAAATTGTCGTAGGAAGCTGCATTCTGCGCGGCGTTGCGCACGTGAATAACGCCCGGTTCGCGAACACTTAAATAACTTAAGCCAGTAACCTAACAATAAATTCATGAGCCTCCATCTTCTTTTGTTTCGAGCCACGCTCTTTAAGCAACGCTAATTGGCAGGAAGACCCGTTAACACAATCTAAAATGTTTCTCTTTATCGAAGCACGCGTTAAATCAATCTAAATTTGTAATAACAACGGTTTAAAGCAACAATGTTATAAGTTGAATAATTTACATGTTAACTATTTATCCGTTTTAGTTCGTTCGGAAATGAAAATAAAGTAACATTTCGCTTTATTAAGACTTAACATAATCTGAACCATTTATATCACGGTATAAAGCTGACAGATTTTCACCAAGAGTTAAGGCCAGAGGATGCTCGTAAGAATAGTTCCGGCTACTAATCAGAAAATGCGGGTACGCGACCCTAACTTCATCAAGCTGGCGCCAGATGTTCTCCGTTGTCCATCTACTGAGCTTTCTTCCCTTGAGTTCCATCATGAATACCTTACCGTCCTATTTTCTCTAGTGAATCAGTCTCGCATACAGTGAGATTGTTTTCCTAACACTAGTGGGACTTTAACATAATGTGTCTCGTTGTTGAATCCATGGACTCCAATTATCGATTGATATCAGATGATTCCTAAAATGTACTTAAATTAGAACAGTAAAAAATTAAGTCAAGAAAACTTGATTTTCTTCATAATTCCTTATAAAGTGTTAGCTAAAGTATTTAATTCCTGTATTCATCCCTATTGTAATATCACACTCGTGACTCGACATTTATGAGGCATTCATATCGTTTACACATGAATGCCTTTTGAATGAATTTAAAGCATTAAGAAAGTGGTGTCTAACAAACAGCTGTTACAAGTTTTTGGAACGAAGTTCCTTATGGGACGTTGCGAAGGGTTACCCTAACCGGGAAAAACGTCCGTAACGTAAGATTTTTATTAGTAATGCACACAATGTACGACTTAACTTTGTAATAACGTACAAATTAGTAATGCACACAGTGTACGACTTAACTTTGTAATAATTACCTGTTTAAATCATAATTATCAGCAAATACACGTCTAGTTTAATTTAGTTTGATATAATACAACATTGAAGTTGGAGCGCTGCATTCTCTTGCATATTAAGAAATAATATTAGTCTCTCGGCTCCATCTACATCTAATTGAATTTCGGAGTCCTTTGTCGCGGTATTGCAGTGCGGAACTCTTAAAGCCGTTTCAAAGACACCTCGTTTTCGAAATGACGTCAACGGGCCAGAGGAAATAAAGTTATGATTTATGCACTGAAATATGTTACAAATAGGGGACAAACGCTCTAAGCAAGTGAATCCGGATGAATCTTTGAAACGTTTTGTTGTTGAATACGTCTTGTCATAGTACACAAACGATTTATTAGATACTAGCGACCCGCCCTCGCTTCGCTTCGGAAACGGTCATTTATTATTGATTTCTCCATTATTTAATGGATATTATTATACATACAAACCTTCCTTTTTAATCACTCTATCTATTAAAAAAAACCGCATCAAAATCTGTTGCGTAGTTTTAAGGATTTAAGCATACAGAGGGACAGATATAGGGACAGAGAAAGCGACTTTGTTTTATACTATGTAGTGAAGAAAAAAAATGACATTTTAACTAATTAGTGAAAAATATGTACGATTTCTTTAACCCTAAATTACTTGTATGTTTGGGTTTTCTCGTTTATAAATCAAATAGTAAAACCAGATTTATTTAAATATATTCGTTTGTCACGTCACCTTTCCGCTTAGTCTGGATTTTTTTTAAATATCATTGAAATTTGGAATATGAAAAAA